TTACACTGAAAATGAAATGACAAAAGTTGCTTCATGCTGCTTTCATGAACCATATTTCTCTTCTGCGCTCTTGCGCCGGAAACTGGAACAAAATAAGCTTTAATGTTTATCTTTGATTATAAAATTCTGCACAAAGACCTCAGCAGCAGTACTTTTACATCTCACAATGGGAAAACATTAAGTCTCTTCTGAATTAAAAAAAGTCCAAAATTAGAAAAATAAACTAGCAAAATCTTACCTTCTTAATCGCTTTCATCGATCGGCTCACGCAATTGTGAGACACTACGCCGATGGCTTGCTTTAGAAGACAGTGAATTCTTACGTTCTTGTCTTACAGATTCGCTGCTGCTTGTTGTACTACTACGACTGCTCCCGTCGGAATGCTGCGATCGACTGCCACTCAACTCTGCGTCATCCTCCGAACTTGACGTGTCGTGTCGTCGCCGCTTTCGACTTCTTCCCTCATCCTCCGATACCCGATCTTCTGCTGTACTCCTTGAACGCGACCTTTTCAAGTGCTTCACAAGTTTGCTTTTTTGCACTGAAGAGGTGCGGCTTCTTGATCTTTTAGCTGCTGGTGAAGAATGACGTTTTGCGGATCTAGGAGAATTTGACTGCTTTCGAGATGAAACACTTTTAGATTCGCGCGTTTGCGAGAAGCTCGAAGATTCGCTGGAATGTTTCCTTCTTGTCCCACTCGTACTGTGTTCTCTTTCATGCTTTCGCTCACGATCCTTATGATCAGCTGAATGCTGACGTGATTTTTTTCGCTTTCTTCTTTCATCTAAATCGGAGGAGTCACGTCGTCGACGACGGGAGCCCCGTTCTTTACTACGTCCACGCTGCCGTTCATCCTCACGTTCGTATCTTCGCCGTTCACCTGCAACAGACTGTTCTGTGCAAGGAACAACGCTAAATAAAAATAATGCATCAACTTTACAAACTTTGCCCGCCTTCCACCAACAACGCAAACTCGTGTTTTGCTTTTAAAAAAATCGTGGGAAGTGATCAATGCTTTTAAATACTAGGTAATTCGCCGCGCAACACACCCAGACACACACCAATCAACAAACCTCTGTGTTTTATCAAAATATAACTCTCTTTTACTGAACGCCTCGACACTAACGACTTTTCCGGAATGCTACATGACGAATATGAGATGATGTTAGACACGCAGCGCTCCATGTGAGAAAATATTCCAGCAAAATCACTAACATCGAATAGCTACATTACTGTGCCGATATCTTGATAAGGCATACAGAACACCTTCCCCATCTTTCTACTATATTTTTATGCTTTAACGCCTTTTTATGCACTTTTTGCATCTGTGCAATGCAAAAACGTATACTGTCGAGGGGCTGTCTCTGTAGGTGTTTGTATGTCTGTATCGATTTTTCATCTCGAAACCTAGGAAAATTAAAGGGCTGAAACTTTGGGAACTTAATTTACACGCATGTACGGGCTGCTCCAATCCCAAAACCCAGGCTGGAACGCACCAGGCGGGCCGGTGCGATTATGCGTTTTCGTGCCGTAGCAAGATCGCAAGGAGTCACAGTAGCTAAACCTGTGACATACTGGCCCTCGAAGTTCGGGAAGTTAATTGTGCAA